CCCAGTAATTGTGTCTAGCCTTTACTCTTCAGTATTTTCTTGCTGAAAGATATTGCTGAGGTATTGTGAGGTGGATAGCCCAAAATTCAAATATTTATAAAATATTTATATTGGCTTGAAGATCCTGTAAATCATCATGGGGAAAAGATGCATCAAAATAAATGGAAGTCACTTCAGAAACAAACTTGAGTCCATTTCAGTTAAATAAATTGTTTCAAGAAAAAAAAAAAAAGAAAGTGATGCCCATTTGTACAGCAGTGATCCCACCCCTTACTCCAAGTCTATATTTGTGTGCAAGCTGGGTTGATCAGTGTAGGCAGGGACTGATCAGAAGACCCAGCAGCAAAAAGGTGCTACTGGAACTACTTAAATGAGTAGGAGGGGTTACCCTTGAGATCCACAGTGAGTACAGAGGTGATTGGGCTCATGTGTGCCATTAGACCGACACATGGCTGCATTCTACAGCTTTTAAATAAAATGGGGGAGAGTTAAGTGAAAAGCTACTGACTTTTAATGCCATGAAACAGAATTCTGGTCTCTCAAAGTTGGAAACCTTGTTATGAATTTATTTTTTGTGCTTTTTGAGACAGTGTTTCTCTATGCAGTTCAAACTGGCCTTGATCTCACTTTGTAGTCCAGGTTGACCTTGAATTTACAGCAGTTCTCCTGCCTCAGCCTCCTGAGTGCTGGGATTATAGGTGTGTGCCACCATGCCTGGCTCAACCTTGTTTAAACCTTCAAGATCCTAGCATTTGCCTTTTGCAGACATAAGAATTCCCATGTCCAGGTTGATCTGTGCAGCTTACACAGTTAGATAAAATGGCGCTGACTTTTTCTCCTTTGAACAGACATGGCGATTTATTGTTCCTGTTTCCCTCAAACCTTGCTGGACCTTCATCTGAAATGGAGACATCAGCCTCAGTAGGGTTAAAGGTCTTTGGCACTCCCAATGTGGTAGAGGATGAGATTGATCAGTACCTCAGCAAGCAGGATGGGAAGATCTACAGAAGCCGGGATCCACAACTGTAAGTGCTTTGTGGGGTTCTGGGCTGAGAAGGGGAATACTGCATTGATAACATACCTCTTATTAATACGCATATGAAGATGGAATTTCAAGTTTTACCATCTATTTTCAGGTATAATTTGACCTTATGTTATTTGTTAGCTTTTTATCAGTTTGAAACTCAAAATGTACCACATCAAATGTTTTGAAATGTCGGGCTACTAAGGTATTTGGAAGGTGTGCGGGGGCATATAGGAGACTTTTTTTATTTTTTATTTTTTGCAGAACCGGGGATTGAACTCAGGCCCTTGTGCTTGCCAGGGAAGTTCTTATTCTATTGGGCCATCTCCCTGGCCCAATGTAGGAGACTTAAAGTTAGCCTCTACCTAAAGTTCCTAGGATATGTGGACCCTGGGGGGCAGAAATAGGAGCAGTTGAGGTGACCAAGGGCCAGTTGTCTGCCAGTGATGAGGCTTGCTCCTGGTTTCTGGGCAGCAGCAGCTTGGCTTTGACATTGTGTAGTGTGAGCAGCTTCAGCCTCTAGCAAGCATCTCACCTGGGGAAGACATTGCTCCTTTGAGTAGTCACAATCTGTCGGTTATCTCAAATGCTGACATGTGTACATCTTAGAATTTTTTTAATGTTTTCTTTTTTAAAAAATTTACTAGCATGGTATATGTTTGCACTACATGCATTTTACAGTTATGGATACATGTACATACTACAGCTTCTTTTATTTTCTTAATATTTAGAATTTGAAGGCTGGAGAGATAGCTCAGTAGTCTAAGCGCTTGCTTAGCAAGCAAGAGGTCCTGAGTTCAATCCCTGATATGGGGGAAAAAAATTTTGAATGCTTTGTTTTAAAAATACCACTTAGAAGCATCTGAGCTTACCCTCAGTAATGTGAAATTATCTGGGCAAAGACTGTTTCTGCAGTGGAGTCCTTTTAAATGCATCACTCCATAAATGTGATGGGTGCTGACATTGAAATAGTGGGATTTCAAGTGCTGCATTAACAGCTTTGATGGCTTAGATGAAAGCCACAAATGCTGCTCAGTTGCGTTTGGTATGGAGCCACTTAGTGTTCATGACTGTTACTAGCACACCTCTTTCACTTGCGTTTCTTTCTAGTGACCTAGTGTCTGCTTCCTTACAGGGTTGGCCCTCATGTCTTCATTAGCAGCCATTAGCACTAAGCATGTGTGCACATGTGTATGTTAATTCTGACCCGGAATCAGTAGAAGACAGAGGCTATCTCTGCTCTGATATGTGGAACTCCTTTCTTAGAGAATTTTAAATTT